ATGCTAGGTCCAGACAGCAACCCCTAGTCAAGGAAGGCGACTCAGAAACCCCAATGCTACCTAGAAGCATAACTCGAATCCCACAAATCAAGAAATAATCCTAAGCAAAAACTTGGGAAAAATAACCCAAATACAAACGAACTCAAGCCGAGCACCGCGGCATTCTACAAGAAAATCTTTCCTCCATCCAACATGATACAAATGACCCAGGCCCCGGAAGCTATGATGCTATAAAGGGCTTGCAGGATGCTCCCCTTCTGCCATTGCGAGCAAACGCAATGGAGAGGAGCACCTCGCAAATCTCCTCCCAGCACCACAGCTCCCAGAGCATAGAACGTAGGGGAGAGAACAACATCAGCCATCATCTCACAAGGACAGGGACGATATGCTGGAACCATCCACAACAAGGACCACCTCGCACATCTGAGACAAAGGGCCCCGGAAGGCAAGGAGGCAGCGAAGCCACTATTCCAATAGCCATACCACCCCATCCTACCCTACTCGCAAGACCCTTTCTGGCACAGCCATTGGAAGGGGCAGCAACGGCTTCCAGCCACCATAGACAACCACCAGTAGGACACATTATGAGAATGGCACAATCCTCCTCACACTTCTATCCCTAGGTTCTCTCCTTTCCTCGCTCTCTCAACATCTAACCACTCAGAGAAGCAAAAGAACAATTCATAGTTATGGTCACAGGCGCCTCGAACGGTAGGAAGGCCTCCATTTATAGGCCAGGAATAGACTAAGTAGCCTAAGATCCCTACGCGCTGCATGGCAAACCATGGGAGGTCACAACCAATGTCAGATGCCCGTGTAAGGTCAGGGAAATTGAGACCCTCCCAAAGGCAGAGCTGGTACAACATCGATGAGACCACTCGGCCCCACCTGGGTCACAAGCCCTGATACACGGCACACTGACATAGCAGAGCTCAGTAGTCACGTACCACAATGTCAGGGAGTCCTGACGGGGTGGAGCACAATGACCACCTGTCGCATTGAACGTAATAGCCCGTAAGGGGTCGAGCGACGAAGCTTGATGAAGTCATGACTATGAACCCACACTCATCGAACATGCATCTTAGCGCTTTTATAATCACTTCATGATCGCAAAAACACTTAGGGGCTACTGTCGAGGTTATAACCTCGAGGGTGTCTCAAGGCACCGATTAACTAGCAGGACGAGCGGCCCACAACACATTAGCTAGCGAAAGCCCGAATGATCGAGGCCTAGCTAAGCAAAATGAACCAGTCTGGCCGTTAAGGCTAGGGACAACCATGACCCCTTCCTCCTACCTCAGCCAAACGGCACTCAGGAGACGCATGGCCACTCCACTGTCATGACCCCTAGAAGGAAGGGAGAGAGGTCGAGCCTAGTCAGGCGTGCCTACTCTGACAAGAACAAGCATACCACACTGACCCTGCAAGGACCGAGGGGACAGTAGTCACCTCAGTCCAGTCAAACGCCATCCCTATGCCATGCAGCTCAGACAAGACAACACCGCCCAAGGAGGTGATGGCCAGTACAGAGCCCACCGGCCAGATATGGCCTGACAAGACGCATGTACGATTCTACCCACTATGTGATGGGATCCACGATGAGGGCCTTGACTTAGAGGCCATCCAGACCAGCAGGAGCCATGACCCCATCGACCGGGATCGTGGCCCTCAGCTCCTCAAGCCAACACGGCGACCGATGACCTAGGGGGCTACCAACTCCTGTACGATGCCTCAAGAAACTAGGATGTAATGACGAAGACCACGGTAGAGATCACATCACGTAGGATGGCTGGCGAACCACCACCGTGTCTATAGTGTCACCATGGGTGGCATAGTAGCACCACGTCACACCATGCCGCAATGTGGCCATAGGACTATGACAACAACCACACACCAGACATGCACCACAAGATGGCGTAGCTTGCAAGCCAAGTTTGCTAGGACCTCCCTCAGGCTCACGACCCTTCGGTCGGGAGAACCTTCTTCTTTGTATACGCCCTAGCCCTAAACTCTATATTAGGGCAGCCAGGGCACCCATCTTGGGGATCCAAAATGATTCTCTCATTCTTACTCCATAGTAGGGCTCCTAAAGCTTCCCTTCGAGTAGCCCATCTCCTAGCTCTAGCTCTCCTACCTCTTCCACCATTCTTGCACCCCCATTGTATGAACTCTAGAGCATTCAAGCGAGTAACATGCACTCGATCATCTCTAAGACTCGACGTAGGGCTCCGGCCTGAACTAGTATAAATCCTCGTGTCTTTTGGGTGCTACCATAATCTTCCTAGAGCAGCATGACAATCGTATAAGTTTACTAGTCCGGTTTATGAAACATTAACAACACTAAATCTGGTCAACACACTAGCAAGAGCTAGATTGCATAGGCTATTATGGGGGGTATGACCCTGGAGACCCATGGCAGACTACATGGGCTACACCGCCAGGGATGGTCTAGCCCACAAGACGAAGACTTACGGTGCACAGTACTGCTCGGCGTGTACCGCAAGACATCAAGGGCGATATCCTGAAGATGCTACGAGATCTGTTAGGATATGTTTGGATTCTTCGTGCAAGCGTCGCCAGCTAAGCTGGGGACTCCCTTGGTGGTTGGATCTTGCTACGTATCATCGGTGTGCTATCAAGTTGCTCCATGCTGTTCGGATCAGAGTGCTGATCTTGGGCAGCATGTCCAGGGTCTTATGAAGTACATGGGCAGATGACGTTGGTAAGCTTTCATTAAAAATTCTATGACCCTGCTACAAGATATCTTTGAAATCTTCCAGCAGGCTCGGGGACTCTGTGTACACGCGCCATCTCGCGATGATCAGATTTATTTCTACACCGTCCCAATGACATTGGGGACTCGGGCCAGCACCAAGACTATTACTTTGACCTCGGCACCACGTGACTACGTCACCACCTCCATCGACAAACTCGGGGATGGTAGGTGGGCACACTTCACCTTGCGGTGAATGTGCGCTTTTCATTTCAGGGCTCATCCCGTGGACTGGTTGCCTATTCGGCTGGTATTTTGTCTTTCTTCTACTTTCTGGACCTTGGCACCACGTGACCACGTCACCTACTATCAGGCTCAGGGACTAAGTGGGCACACTTCACCTTGTGGTGAGTGTGTTTTCTTTAATCTGTTCATTGGAAGACTCCATGCCTCCTGAAGTTGAAGAAGATTATCTCCCTTTCTCGTGGTCGGACTCTATGTGGGCACACTTGGTTCACAGCGAGGAAATTTTCGATTTTGAACTTGAACTCCTTACATCCTTCTGGCAAGCCTTACTTGGGTAAGTCCGGGCTCGGCCGGACAGTTAAGCTGGTCGGTTACGGTCCACAACTGCTCTATGACTCATTAGGGTGGTCGGACTATGAGTCTGACTGCTCGGCTTTGTTTACACCTGCTCGGATAAGCTCAAGACGGAGTTGCATAGCGGATACAAGGCGCTCAGGGACTAGCTGTGGGGGGTACGGCCCCAGATACCCATGGCAGACTATATGGGCTGCGCCGCCAGGGGTGGTCCAGCCCACAAGACGAAGACTTACGGTGCACGGTACTGCTCGGCGTGTACCGCAAGACATCGGGGCGATATCCTGAAAATGCTACGAGATCTGTTAGGATATGCTCGATCCCATGATTCCTATAATCTGTTATTACTTACCGGTTATCTTCTAGATCTAACCGACTTGTAACCCTACCCCCGGCTATATAAGGCGGGTAGGGGACCCCCTCAAAACACACGCAATATCATACGATAGCCAATACAAACCAACATACCACAGAAGTATGGTATTACGTCGTGTAGACGGTCCGAACCTATATAACTCTTGTGTCTCTGTTGCCTTCTTGTTCTTGATTACGCGCACCTCTGCCGATCAATCTACCTTCGTGGGATACCCCTCGAAGGACTACCGACGATATTTTGTCGACAACTGTACACAGCTGATATACATAGAGAGGGAGGTCTAAATGATGAGGCCATCCCTAGCCAGTCGGCGAGGCCAATTCGACACTCGTTCTTCACTAGAAAGACCCACGAACGCCTCCCGATAAGACCTATCGAGGAGAAGCACAACGGGAGCTAGGATTGGCAAGGCCACCGACAAATCTTTTCGATAGAAGCGTTGGATTGCAAGCGGGTTGAAAAAGTTTGATGTAGAAGATAAAAAGTAAGATAGATTGGTTTTGACTGGCATGTGCAGCTTCTATGCCAAAACCAACATGGACCGATTTGCCCTGGCTTCGGCCTTCCTCTACTCTGTTGACCGCCAGGCTTCACCCTAACCGGACTATAGGCTGGTTTGTCCAATTCAATCCAAATATGATCCTTTTTGTTTGCATATGATTTTTCAGTTCATCTTTGATTCTCTCGATCATACTAATAGTTATTAATCATGATAGTTTACTCAACATCAAAACATGCAGTAAGACGACCTTATCTGTTATCTGGTCTACCTTGCATCTAATAAATTATCTGAAATTTGCAATTGTTTGCATGTTTATAGTTGCAATATCAGATCAATTACGAGTCCAATCTACACGATATAGATATCCGAACCATCCTTCAATAAAAATATAGCCGTGCCTATCTGGTAGAAAAAGTAGTTCAAATGTCGTTCTCTCATATTCAGCGCACGCAGTGTTAAAAAAGTGTTCTCAGATAGTAAGAAACACAAACTAAGAAGCTGCAGCACGTGGTTTTCTCATACCATAATACAGCATGTTTAATTAAGCTACTCGATCATATATAATATAATAGAATAATAAAGTAGAACCACAAAGCTTCAAACACATTTATCGCAATCACACATACAGCCTACTACGTACAGTAGTATTTATAAGCCCCTCCTGTTCGAAGAAATCGACGCTTCGAACAGCATAGCAGAAGTAATTGAAGGTTAGTTTTGTTGTCCAAAGCAACAAAATCTGACTGGAGAAGGAGGCTGTATTTCATCCTTGTCACCCCACCCCGCCAACACACCAAATACCGACGGCGATGGCAGCAGCGGAAGCTCAGAAGCTCCTGGAGGCGAGCACGAAGATCATCGGTGTCAGTACCACCTACATGGTCCATGTCAAGGATCCCGGCAACGTTCCCAAGGTGCCCACCCTGTTCCTGAAGCCTACGTCGTCGTTCCTCCACGCTGGAACGGCCAACGCTTCCATCGAGGTGCCCGAGCCGCTGGAGACTCTGCGCCATGAGGCTGAGTTTGCCATCGTCATCTCCAGACGAGCGCGCGACGTCCCAGAAGCATCTGCCATGGACTACGTTGGAGGTAACCAAGAAATGCTTTTGCAACCACCAACGACTGCTCTCTGACTATTTCCAGCCCTTCTCTTCGGACACAACTCATATAAGTCTAACACAACTCTGCGGACATATTACTTCAAATGATGATTGGGTTGCCAACGAGATCACCAAAACCACAAAATGACGAATATGTCTAAAAATTAGCATGTTTGTATCTATTAGCACTAAAAATTAGCAACTAAAATTAGTACTACTAGATCTAAACAAAGTTGCTAATAAACGTGCTAATTGTTTGCTGGAAGGCTGCTAACTATTAGTTCCATTAACTGTTTTGAGTTTGCTAATAAGTGCTAATAGTTCATATGCACATTCAATTCACTGTCCAACCACCTATTAGTAGGTGGATCCAAACATGCCCTTACTAAAAATTACCTAGCTAAAAATTAGCAGCTATTAACTATTAACTAGCTAATTTTTAGTGCTAATGGATCCAAACAGGCCCAGTGCGCATAATTTTTACACCTACAACATCCCAGCTCTACTTGATAAAACACAAAGCTTTTATTGTGCTCCCCTAATTATATGGGGTTAGAAGGCCAGGCCTGGTGCAGTGGTGAGAGATGTCTCCCTGAGTCATCAAGTCGTGGGTTCGAAGTAGCCTCTCCGTAGATTTTCGTGGGGGCAAGGCTTGGCTCAGTTTTTTCTCTTCCCCAAACCCCACTCATGTAGGAGTCTCCGGCACTGGGTGTGTCCTTTTTGCCCTAATTATATGGGGTTGAATCGGCACCAAGTTACATGTGTTGGTTTGTGAGAACCGAAACAATTTGGTTTCTCATAAGATTTGAAAGAATCAGCTCCAAACACTATTTCTGGTCAATGTTTCGAAACTGGAACGATCCATGGTTCCTACATATGCACGCAAAATGGCAAGAGTTTGGTTTTGGAGCCTTTTACCTATGTGTCATTAAAAAAGTTGACCGCACACAGGTACCACTGTTCTAAACTTCTTTGCCTTACAGGCCATTCCGTTCTTGTTCTATTTGTTTTTTTTTTTTGCCGTTTGGTAGCCCTTACAGGTGGGACCGCCAAGTGAAATTGTCCATGTTGGCCTTGGGCGGTGGAGACCGTGTTGACTACGATTGACCGCCACCTCAGTTTTCTTGGTCCCCATGTGCCCCTCTCAGAGAAGAAGGGGAGCGCAGGGGAGAGTCGCGACCGCCGCCGGGAAGGCACGTCGTTGCCGGAGCTCGCGGCCACCGAGCAAGCGCGTGGCTGCTGGGCAGGCTTGTGGCTGTCGGGATGCGACGACGGAGCTCGAAACGCGACCACCGGAGCTCGGGATGTGGCCGTTGGATCTTGAGAGGCGACCGCAGGAGCACATGACGCGCGCCGGAGCTCGGGATGCGGCCGCCAGGTTGCCAACACGTGGGCGCCAGGCCCGTTGGAGCACAGGCCGCGGCCGCCGGTTGGCGCTGGAGCTCGGAGCTCGACCGCGGGGCCGCTGAGATTTGCCACACGACCGCCTAGGAGGTTGGCGGGCCGAGTCGTGGGTCGGGTTGCTAGGGAGCAAGCGCTGGCGCACTGGCGCGCCGCGCCCTCATGCTGGCGCGCGTCGTCGCGTGAATCTGGGGCGGAGGCGAGCCACCGCCGCAGAGGGCATAAATGTCGGGGTCGAGGCGTGGGGCTGTTTATAGTTCGTAGGGCGGGCCAATTACGGGAGGCGCCGGGGCGGCGAAGGCAGGGGGCCGAGGCCCGGAGGTGCCGGGGAGCGGGGCGGACCACTGGTAGCACGCAGTCTTGACGACGCGCAAAGCCAAGGCGCAGTGCATAGGAGCGTCGTGGTCGTCATGGGAGGGGGAAGAAGATATGGAGGAACACAGAGAGAGAAAACTGAGGTGGCGGTCAATTGTAGTCAACATGGTCTCCACCGCTTAAGGGCAACATAGACAATTTCACTGGCATGTCCCACCTATAAGGGCTACTAAACGGCGAAAAACAAACGGAACAAGGATGGAATGGCTTATAAGGCAAAGAAGTTTAGAGCAGCAGCACCTGTGTGCGGTCAACTTTTTAATGGCTTATGTGTAATACAAACTTTTTTAATGGCACATAGTAAAAGGCTCTTGGTTTTGCACTCGATTCTCCTCTAGCCGATTCCTACTTCTCTTTGATATTTTTGCACTTAATCGTGCAACAAGTTAAAATAGGTTGTGTTTTAATTTGTACTTCATCCATAAAAGTTTTAGAATTTTTTTGGAGCATATTGTTATTTCTATGATTTCATTGAACTGGTTTCATAAAATGATTCTAATTCATCATGTGAAATATTATCTGAGTGAATTCAAATCTGAAAAAATTCTACAAGAATCAGGATCGCTGCCAAACACACCCTTAATAACATCTACAACCATAGATTCATTTATAATTTAAAGAGGAAGTTCATGATTAATGGAGGACAACGGGATCTTTTCTCAAATCTATATAAGCTAATGTATCTAAAACTAAATAGAAACTGATTTTTTATTGGATGCAGTAGCTTATAAGGGTATCAAAGATTTGGTAATTTTATGCCCAGCCTGACCTAGCCCATAGAACATACTCCCTCTGTGCCACAATAAATAAGATTCTGAGGTTCAAAATTTGTAACCAAAATAAATGACATTCTACACAAACATGGGACATCGTCTCTTACTGCAGAAGCTAATCATTGGTGCATGCAGATGATAAACACCAAATCCAAGAGGAGACCATGGTCTTTTGGCAACGTCCTTAATCTGTCCAAAATTTGTTAGAAACTTATTTATAATGGGACAGAGGCAGTAGTACACAGGGCATAGCAGGAGAAATACAAACAAATAATGATGTATTTACTTGAAATATTACTATAGTAAAAAACTTGGGGGGTAGGGGGGCGGGGGGCACACAGCCAGGTCTAACCACAAACTGATGACTTCACACAGCTCATATGATGGTCATGGGCACAATTGCTTAGCCCAAAACGAACCAAACTTTCTTTTTGGTCTTGGTCCAAAAAATTATCAGGTCTAGAACAGAGAGTATAGAATATTCAATAAAAAGTACATCCACAAGCATACCTGATGACACAATTACGATAAAGGTAATAATAGTCATGGTCTATGAAAAAAATATGTAAAATACAAACACATTGATTAGTAAACTTTTCGGTGACACCATTCCATAAAACCAAGATCTTTGTGTTAGCTGCCATATAGTGACAAACCTGTAATAAATACCTCCATACTGAAATATAAGGTATCCAAGCATTAAAAAAACTTGTCCCTAATTATAGGGGTACCTATTAGTAATGTCTTCACCAATCCAAAAATAGTAATCCCTATAATTAAGGAAGGGTACGTACATGGACCATTTGCTTTACATTATGTTCTACAATTCCTATGATATTTAGTATTTCAAAACAAATGGAGTAGTATACTATAACAGTTCTGTATGTCAACTGTGGCATGCATGCAAAAGAAATTCAAGTTGCTGCTAAGGTAGGTATTACTACACATAGTAACTGTGTGCTTTCTTTTTTGTTAGAGTATTTTTTTCTTAACCGGCAAATGTTATCCTGGTGATTCCTTAAACATACTCAGGAGCAAATCAGTCTCATAGTTTTATAAGTCATTTGTTTTCTAATATGACATATCATGTCTATTAGAAAAAATGCAGCAAGACCTCAATGATCCAGTGTAACACCCTAAAAATTTCTCTTTTTGAAATAGGGTTGACAAGATTTAATTTTGGATTTTTATCCTCATTAAAACATAGGAAATAAAAAATTTCATGAAATTAAAAAAAATTATTATAAGGTTGAGAAACATGTTTTTGCATACATGCTGCTGCATATTTATTTTGTGATGAGTGGTTTGATCCAAATTCAAATTTATTTAAAATGTTTTTTTTGAAAAATGGATTTGAAAATAGAATTCAGAAAAAGAAAAGAAAATTTGAGAATAAAAGAATTTAAAAAGTTGTAAAAACTATTTTTGGAAAACTTACTAAAATTGTTCATTTTTGTTTGAATTGACAAGTGTATTTGAAATCCTATTTAAACTTGATTTGGTTCATATTTGAATGGGTTTTGAAATAGGTAAGAGAATAGAAAATGAATTCTTTCTTTTTCCCACTCCTTACCTGGCATTTGGCCCGTTCGGCCTTGCTTCTCCTCGAAGCCCAGCAGCGTTCGGCCGCTTCAGCTCCCGCCTCCACTCGCGATGCCCAGGCCGAAGCCCCAGCAAGCCAGCCCAGCAAAGCCGCGCAGGCGCGTGCTCATCTGTCTCTCTCTGTCTGATGTCTGGGACCCGCGTTTTCTTTCACTGACGAGCTGGGCCCACCGGTCGGCGTTATCAATTTCCTCCAGCTCGTGTCCGTCACGTACTCACCGTCGCAGAGAGTCCGCTGCCGCCCCGATTCCTCGCGTTGACGTGCGCCGCAAGCCGTCTCGCCCCCCATAAATAGCAGCCGCACCAGCACCGCTTTCCCCGAACCCTAGAAGCAAGCGCTGCCGCCTCAATCGAGCCCTTGCCGCCGCCGACGTCGATTCGCCACGTCACTGTCTCTCCAACACCACTGGTTGGCCCGGTCACCGCTGCCGCGAATCTGGGAGCCAACATTATTGCCGTCACCGCTCCATGCTACTGATCGATCAAGAGCACATGAGGCTCACGCCGACACTTTCATCTCCACGACACCGCTGTTTGTATTATGACGTAGTGAGCACATCTGCGATTTCTGTGTCTTCTCTATACTGGCCGTTGCCATCTCCCACCTCCGGTCGTGACCCGCCCGGACTCCGCCGCCGAGAGTCCGAGGTCTCCTAGCGTTGCCTTGCCTTGCGCCTCAAGTAGCCGGCCTCATAAATACCGATCCGCACCACGCGCCGCCTCCCTATCCCACTCCAGAGCCGCGTCACTTGTTCTTTCTCGTTCTCAGCGTTGTTCACGCCGCCGTCGAGTTCTTCAGCCCTTGTTTAGTTCGCGAAATTTGGATTTTGGGGCTACTGTAGCACATTCGTTTTTATTTGGCAAATAGTGTTCAAACATGGA